TAATTCGGAAGCTGAAGTGGCCTCACAAGCAAGCTTAGTTGGTAGAATTTTGCTTGTTGCGTTTGTCTTAAAATTCACATCCTTTGCAGTGGTTCTCTTCGAGCAGCTCCACTGCTCTGCATGACACCGAAGCAGTTCATTTGCTCGAGCGATTGCTTTCCTCCTTTAGTCCTTGCTCTGAGTGCTGCTACAGTGCCAAGGATGCACAGTCAGTAATTGGTTGATTGACGTGCCTGGAGAAATCAGTTTAACTGCTGTTCTAGGGATGAAGAATGATATATATGAGGTGTATATCCGGCATACAAAAACCCAGGCTAGAACGCAGCAGCCGGTACGATCATGCGTTTTTGCACTAAACTTGCAGACCGCTATTAGCAGGAATGATCCTTACGCTGTAGCCCAACACTTGGGCTCATATTGGCCGTGCTTTGATCCTTTCCGGTATGCAAGAGGAAGTGGTTAGTTGGGATGAAAGTGGTGCATTATAAAGTCGCAGGGACATCCAGGAGCATGATTACCAGTTTTTTGCATGAAGTCCGGTCGTTTTTTCGGTAAACGCTCGCTTTGTGAAAAAATGAAAAACGCAAATTTTTTGAAAAAATGTAAATTTCCAGTTCACTAAAAAGTGAAAGAGTTGCTCGAGCGGTCGTTTGTCAAAAAACTCATGTATGCAAATTAACTAATGTTCATTTACATATTTGGGCAAGGGCGGTCGTTCGCTGCAAAGCGCACTCGTTCCTGATTTTTTGGTATAGTTGAGTATTTCTCACGCCTACCTGCAGGGAATTCTACCTCCAAGCAGAATTAAGACTGTACTTAGGAGTAGAATATTCCAGCGAATTTTCAGCCTCGCAGCTTATTCAGGTAAGCGGAATATCCACTTCGCTACAAATATTTTTGAAGTGCTGTAAGTTGTGGCGCAAGTACAATCCGGTGCTCATTTTGGGTGTACGATTTCCTGTGTGGGAGACAAACATGCTGACAAAATTTCAGCCACTGTTTTCCGGCAAGTTTTTGAGTTATCACAGTATCCAAGTTGCAATTTTGATGTGATCGTATGTGCTTCACAAGCGTGCTCGACAGCTGAGTTTAAAATCTTTAGCTCGCATGTGCATAGAGAATATTCCTGCAAAGTTTCAGCTGTATACCTTGCCTGGTTCGTGAGATCGTTTCCCGCCAAAGGAATCTGCATATTTTTTGGGGGGCCTGTACGCGGGGTCTAGGCGCCTGTGAGAGAATATCTTGAAACGGGAGGGTGACACACAGGATAGAAACATATAC